CGCTTTCCTGCAGAAGCTGTACCGGAAGGACATCAAGCCGCCCTTCAAGCCCGCGGTGGGCCGGCCCGAGGACACCTTCCACTTCGACCCCGAGTTCACAGCCCGGACGCCCACGGGTGCGTGCCGCAGCAAGCGGGTGTAACCCTGGGTCCTGGCCGTTGGCGGATCCGCCTCCCTGACCCAAGAATCCGGGCTCAAGGCGCTTTCACGGGAAACAGTGGTCCGTTCTGTTGGGGGTTCATCCAGGCTCCTGGAGACCCCGGCCCCCCACTTCTGGGTCTGAGGTGCCAGTCCAGTGGCCTCCCTTTCAGACGGACACACAGGCCAGCACAGGACAGAACCTGGAGACACGACACCTCGTTTCATTAGGAGAGCGGGGGGTGGGGGGCAGTTAGGTGCTCAGATTTGTGAAGGACGGATCTGACTCGAGCCAAACGGAAACCCTGTCGGAGGATTCCACCAGCCGCAGGTCTCGGCACATAGAACGGAAGAGTAGCTTTCGGGGTCCCCGCCTGTGGTCCCTCCGAAGGTCTCTCCATCGTCAGATCTGGTCACTCCCTCTGCCAGTCACCGTGCTGCGATCTGTGCTGTGATCCTCGAGGACGAGTCAGCTCTGCAGATCCTGGGGGAGTGTGTACAGGGTTCTCTTCTTACGACGTTGGAAGCTGAAATTGTGATTTTTTTCAAAATATTTTTTTTATTGATTTCAGAGAGGAAGGGAGCGGGAGAGAGCGATAGAAACATCAATGCTGAGAGAGAATTATTGATCGGCTGCCTCCTGCACGCCCCGTACTGGGGACTGAGCCCACAACCCAGGCAGGCACCCTTGACCGGAATCGAACCCAGGACCCTTCAGTCCACAGGCCGAGGCTCTATCCACTGAGCCAAACCAGCCAGGGCTGTCTGTGATTTTAAAAGAGAAGCAGGAAGCCAATAGCTGGTCAGATACAAGGCACCGAGTGCGCCAGGTTGGGACGGAGCCGCACGCGTTCCGTGGTTGAGGCTGTCAGTGAAGCCCGTTCCGGCCACGATGGCACGCGGGTGCGAGCTGCGGGCAGACCTGCAGCCTCCCGGGCTTTCGCGGGACAGTGCGGGGCGGGCAGTTCCTGACCCGGCGGCGGCGGCTCAGTGACAGGGAGGAAGCAGATTCTGGTGCTGCCCACGAGGGGCCGTGGCACCGGGTGGCCCTGAGTTCTGTCGGGGCCTCCTGCTGCCCCGGGGC